CACCAGTCCCCCAGCAGCTGTCTTGGTCGAGTTGTTCAGGTCACATTCAAAGAGAATGCCCTGAACACGAACATTAATAGAAAAACATGATGGTAACCACGCACACTCACTCCAGCACAATGCAACTACATTGCGCATGACGGTCTTGATCACGTGATTGACTAGTTCCATGTCCTTGATGTTTACAAATTTGTACGCCTCACAGGATCTCGCGATGGCCTGGTGTGTAGCCAATCCCAAGGCTAGTGTAATGATGCCAGTTATGAAAGATATTTTGATCATATTGTGTTTGATCTCCAGCTGATATTGATATTAAAAAATACAAACAGACTGTTATTGAATTACTCTTTTCAACACCTGCATTATGATTCGATTCCCAGCATGTTAAAAAAGCTCGCGAAACAAAAACTTTAAGAAATATACAGCAACCAGCTACAGTCACTGATAGGACTATAATATCCAATAAACTGTTAATGAATATCATTTGTCGACACCTGCATTTTGCTTAGATTCCTGGAATGTTAAAAAAGATCGCGGCCCAAACCTTAAGGTACAGTTCAACGACAGCAACCAATTACAATCATACCAATTATACCAATAGTATATTCAATATTAAGAAACAGCATGGATGAGCCAAAAGGATAACAATTAAAATACTAACAATGTTTACCAGAGTATATTTCAAGGTACAAACCACTTTCTTCATCCCTTAAAAAAGCGATAACATTTATCCGAGATTACGAATTCAGCACCGTGATATCCAAAATATCTTCGATCCCTGACTTCATGTTATTAACTTTGGTCTTTGGGGTATGCTAAAGGTGGGGGTACTCTCAAATGCAGATCGTAGAAAAATATTCAAGAAAAGCCCTCATATATACCTATAGTTATAGTTCGGTTGAAGCTGGAGATTCCACGAAGCAGTACTTTGTAAGAGTGCGCAAACCTATGCAATCACAAGTTAGCCGTGTGTCCAACTCGTTCATCAAATGCATTCGATGTGCAAGGAATAGACACGGAATGATGTATTTGAATTGAATTAAATACTACACAACTATGATCAATAATTAATTATACCTTATGTAAACCTTTAGATAACAGAGATGCTATAGTCAAGAGGCAGGTTGAACAGATTACACAGCTACATTTGAAAAAAAGAGAAATACGATAAAATAACATTGAGAGAATTCAGGATACAAAGTTATTCAAAAGTACGAAAATATAAAGAAATGTAGAATAAGAGTGAATATAACATTACATCAATTTCAATTGCATCAAAATCAAGTAGTCAAAACAAAATGTTTAAAAAACTTTTGTATTAACTTTTTTGACGTCTGATCAATAATKCATACCTTGTCTGCAGCGAGATAAATCAACTTAGATAGCATTTGATTTTATGTTGAAATTGATTTTTGTTGTGTACTGCATAACACATAATTCACGATAGCTATGATTTCCTGGTCGAGAAATGAATCAGTTTAAAAAGCTAAAAATAACGATTGAAATGATATAATGGCAATTGATGTGTTTCTTTATCTTCGCAGCTGGGCCATCTATCTGTCTGTGAATCCAGCGAGTCTAGGATTAAGTATTTTGACTATATCTTCCACGAAAGAACTATATACTAAATGAAATGAAGCTAAATCATTTGTCTTTCAACAAAGACAATTACAAATGTTAGACGATTGATTGATATCAAGAAGATATTTGACTGTGAATTCGAACTTCATCAATTCGTGCCAGCATGATGGCCAGGGCTCGTCTGAAATTTTCAATAATACCCCTAAAAGATCTTAGAAGTCATGAAAAAAGGGTGTGGCTGACTGATTTTTAACCCCTAAGAGATTGCACAACAAATATTGTTACATCAGTTCCAATGATGAAATGTATAAAATATTTAATGTCAAAACAAAACGCGAGGGAAATCAATGCCGATGCGCTTTTTGTCTTCTTTTCGCGACAACCTAAGAGGCAGAAAATGCAAATTTTAAGAAACTCAAAATTGGCACCCTAAAAGTTTTACAATCATGAATTTCTACCCCCTAAAAGATCCGACAGGCCTCCCCGGTACTTTTACTCAACTCCGATGCAGGCGCGCGCTTGTAATCTTTTTTTTTGTAATTTTTTTTTGTAAATTTTTTTGTAAATGCTCTATTCGCAGAGTAGCTCATTTAGTGCATTTTGTGGCAAGAAACCAAAGGTGCTCGAAATAGAACGTTACAATATTGAATCGACATCTTTTTTTAGATTGCTAATAAAGATATAAAAGATTTTTTTGCCAAAACAAAACTAGCACTCATTTAGTATGTTAGTACATCGAAGACTTTGAGCGGGAGCCGATCATATAGCCACTTCGTAAAAAAAAGACGGTTCTCGGGAAAGTGAGACGCAAGAGATGACAATAATTATGCAAAAATAAATAAATAAATAAAAAAAAGATAAACAATAAATAAAATAAA